AAAAAAAAAAAAAAAAAAAAAAAAAAAAAAAATAGTGACCAGGATCTGTAGTTGATAGCATCCTGGAGAAGCTGCAATTCACATTCACTTAAAACATTTTTTTTCACTACTAGGGATTGAACCCAGGGAGCTCTGAGCTACATCCCAGCCATTTTGTTTGTTTGTTTGTTTTGTTTTTGAGACTTGCTCTCGCTAAACTGCCTAGGCTGGACTTGAACTTGCAATCCTCCCACCTCAACAACGGCGACCAAGAATTATTAGTGTACAGCCTGCTCCTCCTGTTTCCACGGGATCACTTCCCTTCCTTCCTCCTTGAAAAACTCAAGTTCTTGCCAGGCAGGATGACACATAACAGTAATCCCAGCCATTTGGAAGGCTGAGGCAGGTGGTTCTCAAATTCGAGCAACTTAGTGATTTATTAGTTATCCTTAGTGACCCTGTCACAAAATTTCAAACAAAGGCTGAGAATGTAGCACAGTACAGAGGCCCTGGATCCAATCCCCATTAGAGGAAAAAAGAACATTTGTGACAAGAAAAAAAAAATAGCCTCCAAAACAGGTTTTAATTGGAACAGGAAGTCGATGAAAACATTGAGGGAAGAGTATAAGGACAAAGGGGAAATGGCTATCAAGGTGGTGAACTGGTCAGGATGCTCGGTGGAGAGTGGAGTGCAGAAGCATTATGACAGGGGAGAGCAAGGTGGAGACGCGCAAAATGGGTGATGGAGGCCTGCGTAGGATCCAGGCCAGAGGATTCTAAAGCTGGACGGAATCATCTTTGAGCAAACTCTCGAGTCAAAGGCGGGAAAACTGTTTAAACTGAATAATACAGGGCAGCTAGCTAAACTGTTCTCTTCCAGGTCTCGTGGTTTGGAGGCTCCTGGATTACAACTGCTAAAATTGTATTCATTTCGGATTTTTTCATTCAGTTATAAAATGCGGCGTGTAGGCCTCTTTTCAGTACTACAACTGTTAGGTTTTGATTACAGGGTTGTGATCACTTATCCAAACAAGCTGGGGTTTTTTTCCCCCCAAGTATTTTAGCATCCTGGAACCATCTGTTCTAGCGTATTTTGGATAGGTGATACTTTTCGCTACATTTTCATTGTTGTTTAGTTGCTCTATTTAGATTTTCTACATTTTCTTAAACTGATTTTTGCACAAATACATATTTTCAAACATTGATTATTTTGGTGAAGTCAGGGAATGATCAGTGTTGTGTATCACAGAGCATGACTTCGTGGTGCACCTCTGAAATCCCAAATTACGGGGGAAGCTGAAGCAGGATTACAAATTTGAGGCCAGCCCGATCAATTCACGTAACTTGTCTCAAAATTTAAAAAGGGCTGGGAACGTAGTTCACTGGTGGCTTTCCAGCATTTGTGAGGCCCTACGCCCAACCCCTAGCACACAAAACAAAAAGCCTGAAAAAAACCCCACCACAGTATGCTTTGATGTGCTGGTTTTATCTTTTAGTTGATTTTTTTTTGGGGGGGTGTCTTGATATGATCCAACAATTTACCTGTTTAAAAAAATTATCGGGGGGCGGCACACTGTAAGTTCAAGGCCAGCCTGAACTGCATAATAAACTGTCACATACACACACACACACACACACACACACACACACACACCAAAAAAAAAATAGAAAAATAACTGAAATATTTATTAAAGATAGTAAAGACGCTTAAGTGGGGCTGCGGTGACAGATGCACGGACCACTACAAGGCCTGGCAAGGGAGACTGGATAGGAGCCTCTTACTCACTCATGTATGGGTATAGTTTTTTTCTATGTGCATTTCTGTGCCCTCCGTTTCTTTGTACGTTTTCCCTACTCCCACTTGGTGCAGTTCCACTTGAAAATCTCAGGCCACACTGGGAAAGAACAGGAGAGTTGGTGAAGCGATCAAAAAATGGAAAAAGTGAATTTTAAATGGATTCATTACAAGAAAAAGTCTAGTGCCGAGAACACCGATCTCGGGGGCTCATCTCAACTCCGTGGCTTCGGGGCAAAGACCCCAGCGCCTGCCTTGTGACCGACCCGGCAGAGAGGAGGGTGACCACATCTCGGGGGAATTTTCTCCTATATTCAAGGGGCAACTTGAAGGAATAAAAGCTGCACCCAGGGTTAGTCGGGACAGTGCTACGCCTAACAAGACTGCGAAGATCTGTTAAGTATTACACTCCTCAGCCTTTCTAGATCTGGTATCTTAGTAATGTGAGCCGGGACCGCGCACCTAAAGGTGGAAATTTCCCACGTTTTCCTGCGGGAGGTGGAAATTTCCCAAGTTTTGCTAACAACTCAATTGGCCGGACTGCCTTCTCGATTCACAGCCGAATGCGTCGCACCCGAATGCAGTTCCCGAGAGCCACAGTTTCCAGCCTGCTCGCAAACGGCCTTCGAAGGGAAGTTTCCCGCCATCTCAGTTCAAAGAGAAGGTCAAAAGCCCGCCTAGCCCAACACAATTTCTACACTCGCGGGAGGCCCGCGCCTACACCGCTCTCCCCGCAAGGCGGAATGTGAGAGACGGGCAGGAGGCAGCACTACGACACCGGGGACCGAGAAAAAAGGCAACAGACTAAGGCGCTCGGTGAGTGTTCGGCAGCTGAGAAACACCCACGGAGCGCAGAAGCCAGCGGCAAGCAAGAAACTGCTGGGGTCGAGCGCGGGCCCAGCTCCTGAGGCTGGAGGAGGCAGCGCAGCCGTTGCGGGGAGGGGCGAAGTTTGGGGGGAGGGCTGGAGCGCTTTCCTCGACTCCTGATTGGTAGGCTCCGGGGAGGCGAGTGACGCCAGCCGGGGAGAACGCCTGATTTGTGCGGTGAGCGCGGGCAGGCGGGGTGAGCG